TGATGAGTCGGTGAAACTCCGACGAAACAGTTTGTCACAGCCCCTCGTTTGTTGTCCTCTTCTCCCTCTCTGCCTACGGTTTACCGGGCAGTTCTATTTGACGATATATATATATATATATATATATATATATATATATATAGCATCTATCATCAGTAGCAAAGAATAAAAGATTGATAACCAAATGAATGACTACCGAAGGTGACAGTCATATCTCTAGCATCCAACCTCTACAACATCCTGGAGTTTTTTTGTTTCTTACGTGAATAAATCAACAAATAAACGGACTAGTGAATAGATCTCAGCACGATTTCTTCACAGTAATCACACTTTGCTTATTAGTAATTGACATACGTTATACCCCCGTGTTTGTCCCTACTGCCGTACCGTAACGTGACGTGAAGACGAAAGTAATAGTTGCGCGGAATCGAATTGAGGGTCATTCTCACGGGCTCGGTTCTAGCCCTGAAGATAGCGGCCGATCATCATGAACGTATGTATAAGCCCTGTTCCGGTCCAAACACAGTGAAGATGTTGTGGCGTTGTGTTTGGGGGAAGAAGGTATAGCTCCATTCATTCATTTGGGATAGTACAGAGAAAAGGCCCTCAGCTTCCGAGAGAATATCATCATTGAAGAAGCTTCAGAATTTATGTTATTCTGGGCATCTGATTGTATCTGGAATCGAACTTGGGTTTGATTCCTATTTCAACAGTTCGTGGGCGAACCAACTGAGCTACCTTCCTCCCCCGAATACAACGTACGGTCATTATAGCTGTATCTAGACTGAAAGATGCCTCAAATACAGCTATAATGACCGTACGTTGTATTCGGGGGAAGAAGGTAGGCTCGTTGGTGTGCGGAGAGGTTAGATCCGTGTATGAAAAGAATACAGATTTGGCAATAAAATTCGAGATAATTTGATAAAAACGAAGGAGAATCAAATATCTCAAGGGGTTTCTTTACTGACTGTTTTATCAGAAAAAGAAAAAAGATGGTTAACTTGTGCACAGAAATCTTTATATATTAGAGATCTACGAAAACAACAATTGAGAAAATTATGGGACGCTGGGCCCGGTTCCCAGGCACGTGTGGCTCCCCACGAATAGATTGGAGCAGTTGTCCCCAAAAAAAAAAAAAAAAAAAAAAAAAAAG